GGCAGACTGGGAGACAGACATCGAGCAAGAGACAGACTTGAAGAGAGAGAGAGAGGGAGGGAGAGAGAGAGAGAAAGAAAGAAAGAAAGAAAGAAAGAAAGAAAGAAAGAAAGAAAGAAAGAAAGAAAGAAAGAAAGAAAGAAAGAAAGAAAGAGCCAGCCCAAAAGAGATACCAGTACTAAACAGAAAGCAGGATAAAAAAGCCTAAAAACACGCCAAAAAAGCCAAGGCCCACAACTCTGCTTGGAGAGTAACTTTAGAAGTTTTACACTGCATGGGACAGTGTCGCATCATCAGTATCTCTCGCGTGTCCCGACCGTCAGTAGACCGTCCTCTTTTATTACTCGCGCTGTCTGAGTCCATCACACAGGATGAGCCTGATTTACAATCCAGCAGCATCCCGCATAATTGATATCGATTGGGAAACGTTATGGCAGCTTCCTGCATGGCCACCCGCCTATGGTTGCACCATCATTTGTTAGACATTACTCGTATTTTCGTTCTTCATGTGCGAAGTTATTGATACAAGGTGTTTTTAATGGCATAATCCGTCATCTTAATGAAAAAGTGATGGACAAGGTTGCGTCAGGACCGTTAACCCTCCTTGCACTTCGTACCGCAGAACGTAGAATTAATCATGTTTGATTGACACATAATTACTCACTTCAAAGCTTTCGCGCCGCCCCCGCAATCTCCCACAACATGTTTCCTTGTTAATTGATTAATTCTGTCTGTACCACGCCGCCATATTCATCTTGATAAAACAGTTGAAACTTAATCAAGCACTTAGATTGTTGCAGGTGACTCTGAAGCCTGGCAGAGGCCAAAAACTCTACCGGTAAAACGTATGCTATCAAAGAACAGCAAGCCGAAATTCCTAGTTCGATATCTTGAGGGAATTTTCCAACAGGAGCTTTCCACGTTCCCTGCACTGGGTGGTCCGACTGTTTCATATACCCGCCGCCATGCAGTCACCGGTTGTAATTAAAAGTCACTGATGAGTTTCTGTAATGAAAGCCTTCCACAACTACCGGCGAGGCTTTGAAGTCACACATACATCACGGAACTAATTAAACTTGTGCTTCCTGCTGTGATTGAAAGAACCTTGGTTTGATAGTTTTCATCATTACGAACATTACATTGGACGGTATAAGTTAACCTTCATTTGATGTAAGCTACGTGAACCTTGACAGCTCAATACTGTCAGAAGTTTTCATACCAAAAGAGAACCAATAAATGTTTTGCACTACATGAAATCCGAAATGTAAGCATACCTTACCCAACTCCCCTGGTATATCATCTGTCTGTCCAATTTCTAACCTTTCCCGAAGCCTGGTAGATGCTACGAATGCGCTGTAACATCACGTAAAACTACGGCAATAGGGCAGCAGTCATTTACTAAAGTTCCCTTAGCGCGGACCAACTCCCCTGGCATAAGTTATATCATCCGTCTACTTGGCCAATTTCCACTCTTTTCAGCCGCTTCTCGAAGACTGGTAGAGGCTGCAACATCACCTAAAACTACGGCAAAATGGCAGCAGCCGAACCGTGATGTCCGTCCCTCAATTACTTAAATTAAGGTCTCTTAGCGCGGACTATATCATCCCCTGGCATATCATCTGTCTATTTGGCCAATTCAATTTCTACTCTTACCAGCCGCTTCCCGAAGCCTGGTAAAGGCACAAGGGCTACATTCGCGCTGTAACATCACGTATAACTATGGCAATATGGCGGCAGTGATGCGTGATGCCGGTCCTTCACCCCGTACGGTAGTCCACACGCCCTGCAGCCCGCACCAGACGTGAGGGGTCAGGGGCCACCAATGAGCGGCGAACCGGATTCTCAGCTGCAATCCCAGAAGATCACTTCTGGCCCCCTACCTGCGGATCGGGTTACTGCAGCCCGGATCTGTATCTGTATCAATATAGCCAGTATAACCGCCCTTCGGCGTAACACACCAGCTTCGCAGCTAGCTACATTACACCGAACGACATGTTACACTCAATCTTTGCACATTTAATTGCAGGAGTTGTTTAAATTTGTCTAGTGATGATGCCCCTACTGTGCTTGGTGGCAACGAGTTCCAGTCTACGATCGGATTACAGAAGCCCGGATCGGATTACGGCAGCCCGGATTTAGGAAGATCTGCTCCCTCCAACCCTAATTTTCCGTGTCAAATCCCGCATCCTCAAGGTCACCAGTACGACCTTGGATGGGTCTAGAATGAAGCTGCTCTCTGCAAGCCTGACTGCGTCTTCCCCTGCAGCGGGAGACTTTTAGTCATGCGGCTGTGGGTCCAGATATCCACATTCGTGACATGTATACATGAAGTCAAGCTTGTAGTGTATGACATATGTCAGACATACGCAGGGCTATATATAACACATTTACCCATAGACTATTTTGCTATGTGCAAAATGCCTTTTTCCATGGCTATGATAGTCAACGACAACGATCAACCGTAGACAATACGTGTTTGGTAGATTGTATGACATATGCCAGAAGAAGTCAAACATACGTGGGGCTCTATATAAACACATTTACCCATTGACTATTCTTCTATGTGCAAAGTGGCCTTTTTGCTTCTTAACCAGGGCTATGAATGGTACTAGTAGTGAATCCAGAGTCAACGATCAACCGTAGACAATACGTGTTTGGCAGATTTTATGATATATGCTACAAGAAGTCAAACATACAAATGGCTATATATACAAACTCATTTAGCCATAGATTATATTCCTCTGGTATTGCGTATGAACCTACATTGCGAGCAGCTGTGCACGTACATGAACGATGCCCCGTAGTAGGTTAGAAAATCCATTTTATTCCGTCCGTGATAGTATCAAATTGCTTTAGTTGTTCGATGCTTTCTCTGAAGTCGAACTTTGCTTGGTTCATTTGTCAGGAAAGTAGCTGGTACAGCATACAAACGCGACAATATCGTCTTCTGAATGTGAATCAACGTCTCAAAATATCCCTAGCCTCCGTAGCAGGCTTATAGAACTGGGGCTTTGGTAGTATTTGGTTGTTGTCTAATTAGCCAAAAAACGGGAGTAATACAACCAGGCCGGCTATGTTGTCTGTATGCAATCAGAAAATAGCAAGACCCTGAAGACCCCCCAAACCCCCAGTTTTTGGCATGCTATGGAGGCTAAAATATTCCCAAGCTTCCAAAAGTAGGAATGACATGACATGACATGGCACGTAATAAAATCACCTTGTGACTGAATATTTATGTTCAAGATAAGATAAAAAAACGAGCTTCAAGGCAACAAAAGGTTCCAGTCTCCATGACATATGCAAAACGCTCGGAGAGAATTACGAGTATCTGGATTTCATTGATAAAGAGTTCACGTATTGAACTGCTGAGAACAAAACCCCCGAATACTCAATCTCGTTCCGCACATTCAGCGGAATTTACAGCTACAACCCTTATCGATGTACCATCGATATCTAAAATGTCAAGAGGTATGTTCACTTCGCTCTATCTTTATCCCATATTGAAATATCAATCCGTCGGCTACGCCATCTGTTTCATTCATATTGCTTTTAGGCTTGTGCTCGTAGGCGGCCTTACGGGGTTTAAAAGTCAAGTTCAGTAACGAAACCGCTGATACAGCCGTGAAACTTCACTTTGTAAGGGTATCTTAATACCGGACAAAGTAACCCTAATGGCCCTTAATGGTTCTACCTCTCCAGTCTTCCCGGTGTGATTTAGAGCCTGGCGAGGTCTTATAACAAAGCAACTCACATCCTTGACTACGGGCAATTATTTCCACCACTCAGCATCATTGTAGCCAATTTGACATAATCCCAGACATTACCACCCATCGACCGTAGGCAGACTCCGCGTCTAGCCGACATGCAAACAAACCAGCCGTAATGACCGTGCCTGATAGGCGGGATGTGGCAATGCGCTGCCGATTTGATACAGCATCTGCCACAGTTTCAAGGACTGGCAGCGGTTACATGATAAGGCTACATTTGTTGTAGCTAGGCTGTGTTGCGATTTGATGTTGTAGCAATTTTCAGGCATGTTATGTTATGTTATGTTATGTTATGTTATGTTATGTTATGTTATGTTATGTTATGTTATGTTATGTTATGTTATGTTATGTTATGTTATGTCATGTCATGTCATGTCATGTCATGTTAGAATCAACCTCAGACAAGGTTACAGTTACAGTTACACTTTATTAAGAAAATCAGCCTTGCGGCATGAGGTACATGTACAACAAGCTGAATTGCACTGATCTGTACACTCGCGTATGCAAAAGCATCAACTTACATAAAAAAGAAAACTCAAAGTAACAAGATTCTAAGACTGGATAGCAGATCACTACATACGTCATCCAAAACAATGCCCTTTTGCGATGCAAACTTTTGATTACTGTGAGGAAAATAATGCTTTCGTAAGCTCTGCATTAAGTCAATTGTTTCATCATTATTATTGTAATTTTCTGCGAAGAAGCAAGGATTGTTGACGTCGACATTGAACCTCTCCACTGCAGACGTGATGCCGACGCCATTAAACTATGCCAACACTCAACCCCCTCCAAATATTGGCTAGATGAAAGAGTACATTGTCGATAACTATTTTCAACTACATTTCGTTCCATTGGTTATTGCAGCTTTCCTAGTATAGCACATTGGTAGATGTCATATAAATGTATTCTAGCTTATAGTAGCAGTTTTTATTTCCAAATTCATGCCTGAGGGCTAATTGCAACATAGGCCATTAATGTATAGGGTACTAGTTTATAGACAGTGCAAATAATTTCTTTGGTTGATAGCAATCATGAGTACTTCTGTTTACATGATATTGTATGGGGAGGGAGTTTTTCTTCACATGTATCTGTTTCCATTTTTAAGTGGGGCTGTTAAATTAAGTATACAACTTGAGTGCAGTCCCACTTTGTCCTGGTCTTTGTATTGTTTCATCAATAAAAAAAATTATAATATGCCTGATAAGTGACTAATGTTTCTGTCCTGTTTTTCAGTGCCTCCGACTGTTGAAGTAGGACCGTACTCCCCTTACGTCACGACCTACCGCCGGACGGTAACTCTGACATGCGCAGTGAGCGGCGCGAAGCCGAACATCTCTTCACTGCACTGGGAGAAGGACGGCGCACGCGTAGAGACGATCGGATTCACAGGTTTTTGTCTTATGGGCATTTCTATAGTTAAGGTAGCAGAGTACAGTTTTCGCCCTATGGGGATTTCTATAGTAAAAGATCTCAAAATGACTCACTTCGACGCGGTAAAAAAATTGACCTCCTTCGCAGACTTGCAGGGCGCGGCGTTGGGCAGCGAAACCGTCTTTCCCTGGCAAAACTCCCTCAGCAGCAAAACCGTCCCTCCGCGGTATAATTCCCGTCGCTCATCGAAAAAAAACAACGCCGCGCCCTACAAGTCTGCGAAGGGTAGTAGAATTATAGTAGGGCTCACTTCACAAATACGAAAATCGAGTAGAAGGTACAAACTACAATATATTCGAAACAAAAATATCCTGTCGGCGTAGCAGCGTCGGCGTATCTGTTTTCTATCTGACTATTTTCTATACCCGCGCCATTAACACTGTTCTGCGACCTCACAGGGAAGTACTCCGGAGGAAACATGGCGTCTCCCTCATTACTTATTCATCACGTGACCAGAGCAGACACAGGGGCGTACGCCTGCATCGCGGATCACGTGGTCAGACCAGCCGCCTCCAGTCTCCGGCTAGAAGTGCTATGTACGTGAACTTGTTTGTTTGTTTGTTACTTTTTTGTTTTGTTTTGTTTTTAGCGGCGATGCTCAATGTAAAGCCAACCTAGAAAGGTGACATTTGCAAAGCAAATGCATAAGGTTTACCTTCGCATGTGGTCTGCTCTGTTAGTTCTTCACACATTCACATATATGGTGACAGGAGTCTAAATTCCTCCTACTATATAATTGCAACATTTTGTAACCCAACACCCGTTACCATGGTGAGAGACAGTCAGTTGGGAGGGCGTGTGTGGATTTTCCCTGAATGGGGTACAATTTTGTCACAAAATTCCCAAAAACAATAACAGGCAACAACACAGAGATTACGAGATGACACACTGTAGGACAGATATATAACAATGCCAAAAGATGGCGGTGAATATGTTTACGTTGAAAGCTTGAGGATTATATTCGAGAGGCAAGCATGTTTGTTTGTTTGTTTGTTTATTTCAATCCCCATTAGTGCTTAAAAGCACTATTCTTCCTGGGGTCAATAAAATAAAAATAGATAACAAAACTTTGTACATAATGATGATTACAAAATAATAAAGTAAGTTCAAAATCAAATGTTTTGGTGAGAAAGTTCTATAATTTTGCAGTCCGGGGAAAGAAACTGCTACAGTAACTGTAGAAGTCCTCCAAAAGTTTTTTTCTGAACAGCGCCCATGAAAGTAACTAGTTACTATAGAAGAGGGATAGGGAGGGAACGATTAGTCAGTGTGAGAGTTCCCCTTCATATTTTATCACCAAATCTAATAACCAGCGTACACACCGTCAAAACGATACAGTTATGAATAGACACCGTAACAGGCTTGAAGAATCATAAACGACGTTTACTGCTGTGGGATTCCATATTAACGAGGCCGAGGTGTTAAGAAGAAATAAATTCTGTTAACAAGAAGAACGGGAGGTTGGATGTGGAAAATTTGTCTTACTTGGGAAGGTGTTTCCGAAATGTGGGGTAATATTAGTTCCTGTACAATAGATAGCCTAACGGGAAAAGGCAGATACATCTTGCTATGTGCATAGGTAAGACGGATGTATAGTAATATTACTGTACACCAACCACGCTAATATAGAAGAAGAATGGTGCAGAAGTTTACGACATGCTTACTGCGTTCGTAAGAAAGAAGAATGCTTAGATGAATATTACGACTTAGGAAAGCACTAAATTACACAACGACTCATAACTAGGAAAGCATAACGGTTCACGTTTGGGGAACTTTATGTTTGAAGTATTGGCGCCAACGAGTTCCAAAAGGAAGCGAATATATTGGCTTTAATAAAAATTGGTTACCCTTGTATCAGGAAATACACAAATCTTAAGAGCTGTTCATTTCTATGAAGCACTTTTCAGAGGCGATGAGCCCCTATCCTATTAAATACTCTGAAATGAAGAATTGAGAAAATTTAAGTTCCCCATGTAACTATCAGCTGATCAAAATAGTGATGATTGAAAGTCAAAAGATTGACTTCAGACGGATAGATACAAAACATATGAAAAGTCTATATCAACGATAGATAGCTATTTATACATGCTGCTCTTACACCGTAGTTAAAGAAATGAGCAATAAAAACACCAATCAATGAGGTATGATGGAGTAAGTACTCCAAAACCCAACCTTTAGGCCCCTAAATCCATTCATTTCATCACTATCCTTACACGGTGAAAGAGCACTACTTAGTATTCCCCTTTGTTCCTTCTATTGGTTGAAAACCCTAAGGGTGAACCACCAAAGGGCAGCAACAATCAGCATGGTTGTATCTACAGTGTACATCAAACCATCGACGTTTTCATTGCTAATCTCAGAAGCATAAAACGAGATTTTTTAATATTTCCCAGCCCCGTTGCTGGCGGGATTGGCGATGTACAGCAGTGATTACGAGGTAGATCCTGACGTTTAATATGTGCACTTTTGTCACTGCCATCACTCACGTTCGTTTCAATATATCTTCCTCAGATCCGGCTTCCATCATCAGCGTTTCGGAGTCTCTGTCAGTGGACCAATCAGAGCGCGCGACTCTCCAGTGCGTGGCGGACGGTAACCCGACACCAAACATCACGTGGACAAAGGAAGGCGCGCGCCTGCGCACTGTGACGCAGCCGCTGTCGTCCGACGTGCTGGCGTGTTCTGTGGTGTTTCTCAACGTCCAGGTGAACATTTCTTTTACAGTAGTTTTATTTAAAATCAATTAAAATCAATTCAAAACAAACAAAATCGTACAAAAGCAGGAAATGCTGATGCACCCCTGAATTGTGTAACATCCGTGTCCATAATATCACCAGGGTCCATGATATCGCCACCTTGAGAAATAGTGTGCTTTAAGATATTTTTACTGCAACATACTTTTGGTATGCACTCCTGCACACCTCAAATGTACATACCTAGGGTACGTTGCAGTAAAAATATCTTTAAGCACACTTTTTCTCAAGGTGGCGATATTATGGACCCTGGTGATATTATGGACACGGATGTTATTCGATTTTTACAATTGTTAAAAAAAAAACAGGACAAGCACACAGAAACACACTATATACAAATATGTACAAACACCATTCAATCTACAACAGGAAATAGCGGACATGGGTATTCAATATCAACCATTATTTCTGTCATTGTAAAGTCTTACTGCACAATGTAAAAAAATATTTTTTCAAGCGTAGAGCATTCATGATTATGTACTTGCCACAATTGATACTGACCTAAACACACATTCCTTATATTTGTTTTGCTGCATTTTTAAAACTTTACTATTATTCACAATGTAACAATAAAAAAGATACATAGTTTACATACAATCGTACATAATAATACATAAGAGACAAAGGCGTTTTTTTACAGGAGTTATCTAGATAAATATCAAGTAAAATGTTGCCATTGTTCGTTATGTTCTATTTCTATTCCGTCTAGGTGAACGATTCCGGAACGTACGAGTGTCTGGCCAGTAACGGGGTGGGGGAGGCGGACAGGAGAATCGCAAAACTCACAGTCAGAGGTACGTTCAGAAATAGACAAACATTAAATATCAGAAATACTCTTCTACAATACTATACTATTGTACGGGCTACAGAGTGTATTGGGAACGGCCAGATCGCGTGTTAGTCGTACGATCAATCCCAAAACTAGGGGCATTCTTGAGATAGTCGTGCACGTGTCCTGCAACATACCGCTGTCTTGTTACAGAAAATTCTGTCTTATATTTTTGTCGGTAGTTCGTTCTCTTACAGTTTTCGTTGAGCGTTTATGATCGCTAGACATCCAGTTAAGGAGATACGCAAGAATACAGTTACTAGAGCAACTGGATAGATTTTGAAAACTGTCAGTCGTTTCCATAATCATCCACTGCTCTTCGTCAGTGGCAGAATCTTTCCAACTGCTTGAGCTTCCTTGAACATTCCACGACCTACGTTACGTGGCCTTCAAACTTTTTCAAAGATTAATGTCAGAGAAACAACAGCCACTTGGAAAGAGTTACGCTTTCCACTTGACTTGTCGGGCTACACGGGACGTACTGATATAATAGGAAATAACCTCAAGTATTGATTATAAGTCTCTCTACGTGCATGCCGATCGATTCATACGTGCAGTGCGGGTATAACTCACCATTCTCGGCCGCCATTTCCGCAATATCTACAGGCCGGGCATATATTTCATATCCCCGAGAAACCTCTGGTCAACTTAACGTAACTAGAGCATATAAAGGATCATCAATCGCCCTGTCAGGTTGCTCCCAGGGCCACGGTTATGAGCTGGCAGGCTTCCATGTACACGAACTGAGCGGTATGCATGGACCACCACCATTGACCAATATGTGGGTTTATGGAAATATGAAGATCTATTGGTAAAGCCAACTTTTCCCAACTTATACCAGTACAGTAGTCTCACGGGTTTCAAACCCCGGCGTCTTACCAGACAATTTAAAGTAGAACATCCTAAAGCTGGCAGGCATCCATGTACACTAACCAAGCAGTATGCATGGACCACCACCATTGACCATATGCAGGTTCACGGAAATATGAAGATCTATTGGTAAAGCCAACTTTTCCCAACTTATACCAGTGAAGTAGTCTCAAGGGTTTCAAACACCATTGTTTTACCAAAGAATTTAAAGTGGTACATCCTATTTTCTCTGAAAGCTGGCACTCGTCCATGTACACGAACCAAGCGGTATACATGAACCACCACCATTGACCAATATGTAGGTTTATATGGATATCTATTGGTAAAGCTGGCCTGGCCCTAACTTTTTACCAACTTATACCAGTGCAATAGTCTCAAGGGTTCAAACCCTGACCGATTCTTACCACAGAATTCAAATTAGTACATCCATTTCTCCTCTTGCTCTTGCTCTTGCGAAAAACAAATGACAGTTGAACACGGTATACTACCAGTGGAGTAGCCCTTACACAGCCGTGTGGCCCAAGGGCTATAGAAACGGAGATGGGCGCCACCCTTCACACGGAAGAAGTGGGAATGACTTTAACTAAGTAACAGTAAAAGTTATCTTACCAAAGTCAGAATTTACCTGGACCGTCTATTAAACATTTTAGACATAACGAACTCTTCGAATCAAAACTTCTTTGAAAATCCATCTATCATCTATAAGTTCGGATGCTTCCTTGGCTTCCAAGTTAAACTATATGGAATTAGGTGTCCGTATACATTTGGATGCAGGCGTCTGAGTGGTTACTTAATACATAAAATGATTGATCACCCCTGCTGTGTTAATAAAGGTAGATATGACTTGACATTTGCTCATAGAGCCGTCAGCTTAGTAAAGTATATAGCTCGTTACTATGTCTACATCAGGCTCAAGATTCTCTGAGACTACAGATGAGCTGAATCTACTTATTAAGAGTAGAGCAATGAATGAGTCGTTTTTAGGCTTTTTGTATTAGTTCTTTTTTGTATTTACAAAGTAATGCTATATCTCGGATTGAAATGCTAAATGTTGACATCATCAAAATTTTTATTCTAAATCGCTGTTTTTATCGCTCATTTTTTTAAAAGTTTGCATGCATTTTTCCTCGTCTATGGAGCTACCGTTCGTAGAATGTTCTTAGTTTACTAAGCTTACTTAAGCTGTAAAGGCCTTCATCTAACTTCAACTTTTAAAATTAAAACAGGGCCTAGGGGTACTCTAAGGCCGTCACATGTAAGAAAACGACTTTAAAGATATCTTCTAATGTAGCATCTGTAATCCCTGAAGGATTCAAACTTCAGATATTCATGTATTCAAGTCGATAACAAAGTCTAAGTGGTGTTCATGGGGTATGCTGTTGACTGATTAGAGTTTAAGTTTACTGTAACACAAAAATATATTGAAAGTGAAACTGTTGTACAACTGAAAAAGTATCTGACTCGGCATTGGGTCAAAGAGCGTCGGAAGTCGGTACTGCCCCCCGTCCTGGTTGACAGAACTTTGACCCAGTGCTGACATCACACGTGCGGAAAAATCACGATGAAGACCAAGAGATTCGCATTTTTTTTATACAAGACATTGTCGATAACATTGTCGATAAGTGGTGTTGAAGGATTGAACCGTTAGATAATGTGAGTTGAGTAAATTGTAACACCATTGTGATTTCCAGAAAAGAAGGCTCACACCAACCACACATGTGTATGAAGAGACAGATGTTTGTTCACCCTAGACTTGTATGCCGCTGGATAATGAGAGTTGTGGTTAACTGTAAAATGTTTGTGACTTGCAGAAACTAACGCGGACGACCGTAACTACATCTGGGCGATCATGGTGGGCGCCATCGCGGGGGGTCTGTGGATCCTGGTGTGCTCGGGGCTGACGCTGTACATCCTGAAGCGGCGGAGGGACAGGAGGGAGAAGAAGAAGTACGCGTTCTACTACAACATGGGGAAACAGGAGGATGCTAAAGAAACACTCGGGCCGCCAACAGTCGAGCTACCAGGTAACTTTAATTGTAGACTAAATGAGCACAAGCTACCAGGTGATTAAAGGACCCTTCCTAATTGTGAATTAGCCTCTATCAGGCTTCGGGAAGCGGATAAAAAGAGTAGAAACTGACCAAATAGACAGAGCGGCAAACTGTACACCTTTGGTGGACCAACTCCCTTGCTTGGTATCTCTCTATTTGGCCAATTTCTACTCTGTACGATGCACCTACATGGGGAAATAGGAGGACGCCAAGGAAACACTCGGGCCGCCAACGGTCGAGCTACCAGGTGACTTGTAGATTAACCCTATCTAGTTTGGTGGCTCTAGCGCGAGCCGTTCGGGCGCTATCCGACATCAAAGTTGGCGCGGGCACTTTTCGCTCCTCCCCCCGGTCTAGATAGTGGTAAAGGACCCTTCGTAATAGTGAGGTAGCCTCTACCAGGCGTCGGGAAGCGGTCGAAAAGGGGAGAAATAGACCAAATAGACAGGGCGACAAACTGTTACACCTTTTAGCGGACCTACTCCCTGTCATGATATCTGTCCATTTTGCCAATTTCTACTCTCTCCGAAGCCTTGTAGAAGCTAATAGTTAAGCCCTGGCCATATGCATCGTACAATGTTTTTTATTCCGCAGCGATAGCGCCATTGTAGGTTGGAGGTAGACGGGTGTAATATTTAAACTCTTGAGAGAGCTATCAAATGTTTGGACGCTCGACAGTCCATGAAATGTCTCTCCTCTGTGGATTTGCTATTGACATCACATGATTAAAGCTCCAACTCTTGTTCCAACACAGAGTACCTGACGAAGACCGAAGAGACGGTCGAAAATCTGTACGGTGAGTTTAACTGTCTTTGTGCTGGAACAAAAGTTTGTAGTTTGATCATGGGTTTTACAGCAAGCCTTTAGTTTTCCTCAAATACTTTCTGAACGTGCATCAAGAATGCTCTATAATTGACCTTCTTAATAGCTAGTATAATGGCTATTGATTTACATAGTGAGAAAACAGTAGTGCTCCTTTCTATTGATTTAGGTGGACGCGTACATCTTTAAAGGCTTAAAAAAGTGACAACGCGAGAGCTCAAATCATCTAGTTAGATGCGTGTAGCATGACCCCTGACCCCAAATGACCTAGAGGCCATCCCTATTCCATAGACACGACAGTAATGTGTTAGCAGTGTGGCTCCTTACAGCACTTCTGTACGTTTTTTTTCCTGAACGTTTTTCTGCCGTTCTCTCTGCGAATCGAACTTTATTCCATGGTACTTGATACGGCAGCTATAATGAACGTAGAGTCCGATCTAGCCTACGTGCTAATGTCTAACACGTTGATAGCAATCACGGTATGAAAATTTAACAGTTGTGTAACTCTTGGACTGTTTAAATTCAAATCAGAGATGAAGCGTCTTGAATTTTGCATCGCCGTTCTTCTTGTATTCATGGCGAAGTTGTTCGCTCTGCCCACTCGTGCCACAGCTTACAACTACAATTCACTACTCCACTCATCTCTTTCTCTCCTTCTCACCCTAACAGCGAAGCCAATTAAGAATAATTACTCTGGAATTGAGACCATGAGGAAGACGGCACACAAGAAGGGTAAGTGTTCGCCCACCCGCATCGATCTTACAGTAGCTAGACGTACCAGGTCAGGAAGCGTGCTTCATCATGGAGGGCTCATACCTCAGAGGTGCCAGGGTATACAATGCAATTTTACAGAATACAGTGCAATTTTACGGAATACAGTGCAATCGTATTAGTATACAGTGTGACAGGAGCTTTACTCCTATACTAGTAAAATTGCATTGTATACTAATACGATTACACTGTATTCCGTACTACTGTGTGGAGATATAAAAACCGTCCGTTCTATCTGCTGTTCCTGTATATATGATATACTGTACGGACGTTCCACCACACGGCAGGCCCATGGATGCACACCGTTTGCCTTTGTTGAAACAATGGGAGCCATCCAGATCTTTTTTCGAAACGTCGTTGGTCAGGGGTGCCAGAGTATAGAGTATACAGTGCAATTTTACGGAATACAGTGCAATTTTACGGAATACAGTGCAATTTTACGGGATACAGTACAATGGTATTAGTGTACAGTGCAATTTTACGGAATAAGTACAATCGTATTAGTATACAGTACAATTTTACGGAATAAAGTACAATTATCGTATTAGTATACAGTGCAATTTTATGGAATAAAGTGCAATTATCGTATTAGTATGCAGTGCAATTTTTAAATTGCACTGCATACTAATACGATAATGCAATTTTTAAATTGCACTGTATACTAGTAAAATTACACTGTATACTAATACGATTGCACTGTATTCCGTAACATTGCACTGTATACTAATAGCATTGTACTGTACCCCGTAAAATTGCACTGTATCGTAGTAAAATTACACTGTATGCATTAAAACTGCACTGTATACTCTGGCACTCCTGTACCTGAGAGTTATGTAAGAGCTGAAGCGTGCTACAGCCGTGCTATTGCATTCGCTTAAAACGCTTTATTTATTTCATCGAGCGTGATCAGGAATCGATTGATTCTGAACTTGACATTCACGTATAGTTAGTAATAGTCATATTTAAGACTATTTCGGTTACAAACCCATGCAAACTAGTGTGATACGGTTACAGATATGTGCGTAATGGCATCTCAATATGCACACGTTCTGTTGCCTGATCCGTCCTTATGGGTTTTAGAGTATAAGAGGATTTCATACATTCTAAAAATGCGCTGATCAGCTTTACAGTTTGCTGATGCCGCACGCAGGCATTTATCCGTTATATTTTTAGATCGTTATTGTGCTGACTAATATGTATTTCATTACAACTTATGATGGTCATATTCTCTATATGTTTATGAAACAATCTATCTAGCTACTGTGAATACTACACTATGCATAAGAATCTGCTTAACTCACCCACTTAAGCTTCTACATAGACGTCGAAAAGAGCTAGTCGCCACAAAAGAGCAAATGGATAAAGTAAAGCATATTATACAAAAGTTTTTAAGTTCTTTGACTACGGCTGATATGGCGACTTGGTAAAATACGATGTTAAGAAAGAAATCTGTGTTTAAAATGTTTTCAAGTTGAGTAAGGTTTAAGATATTTTCGCCGTGGACAGAAAATATCATTTTTTTCATTTTTTTCCATTAAACTGCATTAAAGTATTATTTATTTCTTCAGGCAGGAAATTTGCGAAAGCTGTGTATTTTTATGGTGACAGGATTCCAAATCCCTCCTGCTATAAATTACAACATGGTGTAACCCTACACTAGTTACCATGGTCATTGACCTTTTGTGTTTGGAGAAGAGGAAACTGAGCAAAAAACAACATGTTCACCTTCGGTAAACGTATATTTCTCCAGGCAGGAGATTTGCAAATTCAAAGCTGTATTCTTACAACAACAAAAAATGTTTGAAAGTAAAGTCAAGTAAGATTTGAGATATTTTCTTGCCGTGGACAAAAAAAATATCCTTTTTTTTCAGTAACTACATTAAAGTATCTTACTCAAACACATTAAAGTATCTTACTCAAACACATTCTTACTCAAACACATTCACATATATGGTGACAGCAGTCTAATTCCCTCCTGCTATAAAAGTGCAACATGATGTAACCCAACAAGAGTTACCATGGTCATTGACCTTTTGTGTTTGGAGAAGAGGAAACTGATCAAAAACCATATATTTCCTTCAGGCAGAAGATTTGCGAAAGCCGTGTATTCTTACAGCGCCATGGAGGAGAACGAGCTACACCTGGAGATAGATGACGTCATCGAGGTGCTGGAGGGGGAAGATGGCGGCTGGTGCTTGGGTTACCTGAGGGGCAGGATAGGCCTGTTCCCCTCCAACTATGTCACGTTCCTGCCTGCTGGAGAGGGTAATCTCATAAAATCATACCTTGGAGTCATATTATATGTCAACTGAGATCAGGGCAATACGAACTGCGGGGTGGGTTTCATGTACCTCTGACAAGGGCGATATGCATAGAGTAGTAGTGTAAGAATGATCATTGTAAACCTGTGATGGTAGACAGAAGATAGGTATATATACTATTACTACATACACTCGGATATGTGGTTTTCAATATTTTGTCTTGTCTTCTTTCAGCCTCTAAAATGACGGAAGACCTGTACCCAAATTTGGACAGCGTGAGGAGCACCCCCTGCAGACAGTCGAGAAGGAAGGTGGGTAATTTTCCTCCTGTCGATCACAATTAGCAGTTCAACCAATGAGAGAATGACAATCAGCGGTTTGACCAATGAGACAGTGGCTAAATTTTCGTCAACTATTTGCTGGTTTTCACCTCAGAGGGAATGTTTAATTATTAGTGACGTGTATAATATATTCACATTTTGACATTTTCATTTCTTGACACTAGAATCCCTTGACACAAGTGTTTTAAACATCTGAAATTGCAACATGATGTAACCCAACACTAGTTACCATGGCAACAGACACAGCATTGGCTCAGGTCAGAGGTCACTGATGTGAGAAGAAGAGGAAGAGGAAACTGTGCAAAAACAATGTATTCCTTCGGTAAACATAACTACTGTTTCCTCTATCTATAGGCCACCACTCCTGAGAAGACCGGAGCCAGCAGGGAGATGGGTCAGCTGAAGAAGATTGACTGTGTGGAAATATAAAACCGTCCATTCTGTCTGCTGTTCCTGTATATATGATATACTGTACGGACGTTCCACCACACGGCAGGCCCATGGATGCACACCGTTTGCCTTTGTTGAAACAATGGGAGCCATCCAAATCTTTTTTCGAAACGTCGTTGATCAGGGGTGCCAAAGTATACAATGCAATTTTACGGAATACAGTGCAATCGTATTAGTATACAGTGTAATTTTACGGAATGCAGTACAATCGTGTTAGTATACAGTGCAATTGTACGAAATACCGTGCAATCGTATTAGTATACGGTGCAATTTTACGGAATACAGTACAATCGTATTAATATACAGTGCAATTTTTACGGAATACAGTGCAATCGTATTAGTATACGATGCAATTTTACGGAATACAGTGCAATTGTATTAGTATACATTGCAATTTTACGGAATACAGTGCAATTGTATTAGTATACATTGCAATTTTACGGAATACAGTGCAATCGTATTAGTATACAGTGCAATTTTACTAGTATACAGTGCAATTTTACTAGTAAAATACGATGGCACTGTATTCCGTAAAATTGCACTGTATACTCACTGGCACCCCCGAAGACACTTGACACGCTTTTGGCAGACAACATTCTCCCGATACCAACAGAACTTGATGTGATGACCTCTTACTTGTACACACACCCAGCAAACGGACCAACTTTTGTGGAGAGGACGTTGCTAATTATAAGAGACAGATTCTACAAACGGAGGCTAGCCACTAGCATCCCTATACACCTGTCACCAATAGCTACGCGCTGAACTATCAAGACGTACTGTTACGTGTGGCAAACAAACCTACGAGCATTATAAACACTGCAAACATGTGCCTGTTTGAAACACGTCATTAATAATAAATGTAAATATTTGCTAAGTTCTGTGAAAATTAATGGCCGACACTCCTGTGCAGAAATGTTTGCGAAACGCTTGAAAGTGGTGACAACTCACGGGCTACTCAAGGCCACGGCAAGTCATTTTTATGGATGACATCAACGCTAGCAGTAATTTTCGCCTGATTTTGGAAAAAAAAACAATAAATTTTGTTGCCTTCTGACAGTGGTCAACATGCCGAAAATGGGCAAAGATGTCTGTTGCCATGCCGGAACGTGGATGGTAGATAACTATGAAGAGAGGAGACAAGAAAATGCTCTGAGTTAATGATTTGTTTCTTACTTTGATACAGTGATATATGATGCTGGCTGTGTATATGTGATATTCCCACTGAATAAAGAACATTTGTACAATGATTGAGTCAAAGTTTAAAAATGTAGGAACCTTGCTTTTTTTCGGCCCGCCTTGTTTTTTCGCCCGCTCGCATTAGATTTGGAGTCTGCGGAGGATGTCATCCATAATATTTACTTGCTGTGGCCCAATTAACAGAACTGGGTCACCAACCAATCGTCTTTCTCTTGCTTTGTCGTATAACGTCACCTGTACTTGCAATACAATCTTATTGGATACTGCTGTCTCGGTGTCATTAATTACTCTTGTGTGTACAAGTAGTAAATTCTTTCTGTGGAGCAAAGCCCCTGTCACACATTCAGAACCTCCCCCCGAACACCAGCCGACCAAGGTTGGTTGAAGCCCCTGTCGCACATTCAGAACCTTCTCCCGAACACCAGCCGACCAAGGTTGGCTGAAGCCCCTGTCGCACATTCAGAACCTTCTCCCGAACACCAGCCGACCACGGAAGCAGTCAACGCCTACATTTCTATGCGAATTAAATCGCATTTGAGTGAAATCTCACAACCAATTACGCCCGACCTACCTACGACACCAGCCAACCGATCTGTATCACTAAGGCGAGTGGGACCCTGCCGTAAGGCACGCTTCTAGACACGATAATGGTACAACGGTACTGATTGGTTGTAATAATTTTGCCTGAAGTATACAAGCTTCGATTACAGCTTCGTGCTGTTTAAAATCAATGAGGCAGAGAGAAAAAGAAAAAAAAATGTTTATCTTAATCAAATCAAATGATTGTACCTTCTTGCCAATGCCATCACATCAATCTATCCATTCATATCTGTTCGTAACCAATCGATCGACAAACATGGATCAAAACAAGAACAAGTATGATATGAAAGACCCGTTACTCGTACACGTGTGTACATTAAAACTCGTGCTAATACCTTACGTACTGTTTTTCACAAAAGAAATAGAAACTAAAAAAAATCAAGTAAGTGGAAATTGTAATAACAATAGTCTAATCACTATATCATTATCTTGTAAGCTTTTCATTCAAACTTCAATTGAACAGGCAAACTGAATGTTATCAATCTTATGCACGTTGGAACACACTACTATTCTCTGGCATTCCTCCAAGAAGCTTACATATACACGCTGCAAGTAAATTTAACCTATTGTTTGTTTAACATTTGGCAATTTCTTACCTGTCTTAACAATATGATTAAAGGCAATTTTTGATTTTGATGTATTTCATAGTAAACAGGGTTGATTTCCATCACTTATATACAAATGAACTGAAACACGCCACTTTCAAGACGCCAGCTGTAATACTGTAGGAATGAATGAAAACCAAGAGGTACTACTATATACAAAGAAGATCTAATATTGTTATGGGTACCTCTATATAATGCGTCATTCATCTTTAAAGGATTGTTTCTACATACGCGATCCGTCTGTGTAGCTATATAAAGCAACTATCGTTGACGCTGTCTCTTACACATCGCTGTGTTTTTCAACGCGACTCTAAAGCTCCGACTAGCGAATCTGTATATAACCGGATTGAGGACGCTGTTGAGGAGATACAGTCTGTCCAGCAACTAACGTTAACGCTGTCTCTTGACACATGACTGTATTTTTCAACTGTCGAGTTGTTGAGGAAATACAGTCTGTGCAGCAACTATCGTTGACGCTGTCTCTTACACATGACCGTATTTTTCAACGCGACTCTGAAGCTGCGACTAGCGAAGCTGTAAATGACCGGATTGAGGACGCTGTTGAGCAGATACAGTCTGTCCAACAACTATCGTTGACGCTGTCTCTTACACATGACTATTTTTCAACGCTGTTCAGGAGATGCAATCTGTCCAGTATCTATCGTTGACGCTGTCTCTTACACATCACTGTATTTTTCAACGCGACTCGGAAGCTGCGACTAGCGAAGCTGTAAATGACCGGATTGAGGACGCTGTTTAGGAGATACAGTCTGTCCAACAACTATCGTTAACGCTGTCTCTTACACGACCGTATTTTTGGTACAGTTGACGCTCTGCGCAGTATCTATCGTTGACGCTGTCTCTTACACATTACTGTATTCTTCAATGCGACTCTGAAGCTCCGACTAGCGAAGCTGTATATGACCGGATTGAGGACGCTGTTTAGGAGATACAGTCTGTCCAGCACGAGGAAGATGGCCTGCGCTGTTGAGCTGATGAACGGTGAGTTGGAGTTGAGGAAGGTGAGGACCCAGTGCGGCAGCCAGCTCAGGATGAACACCAGCGTGGCCAGGGCGAGCATCTTCGCCGTCTGCACGTGCGGGGAGGGACAGCCGAGGGTTCTTGTACCTGTAACACATAGGAGCGACTGTGAGTCCTGTGCGTAATGTTGGAGTTGGAACCAAGAGGTCCGAGTCCTGAAATGTCACTGATATTGTGCTCTTGGGAAAAGCACTTATGTAATGAACATTTGTCTACAAGCCAGTGGGCGCTACTCTTTGACCCTAACATGAACCTTGAATACTAATATACATAGTCAGAATCCTTAAATGCTATACTTCAATAGTGTTACAATACGTTGTACCTCCAGAGAACGATCCTTAGTCGTTGCGTGTTGCTATGTATTTGTTACTGTTTTATGCTCTGTTGTTGTACTTTAACTGGCATAGTTGTATGCTAGTTAAAGTTTCATGAATGTAAGTGTTAAGTTATTATCTCAATTTGTAATTACGTATTTGTGAATTTATTTTATGAATCCAGGAAGAATAGATTAGATGTTGCTATCTAATCTAATGTATTTCAAATAAAACATGAAACAACATCAAACTTTAAACATCAAACCTCACTTAACTCAAGTGAAAATTAGTATTGTCCTGTGCTGTATTTGTACCCTGTGTCGGTGGCGGCATAAAATAGGTTGATATAACTTGAGTGTGCCCTCGCCATGTTTGGTTATGAAATGTTGGAATAATTTTACAAAAAATCAAACCTGTCGGTCACAGTACATACCTGCTCCTGGCCCTTGTGACGAGGCGGCGGCGGTACGAGCTTGCCGGGGAGTTGTAGCTGCCGCCTTCGCTCCGCATGACCGGACTGGACCGGCACGACTTGGTCTCGGCGCCGTCCGTCTCGTGTCCGGAGTCTTCAGATCTCTCCACGGGACTGCTTGGCCTTGTCTTTGCCGCCTTTGTGGATCGTAAGGTCTTAAAGCGTGACTTGGTGACAAGGGTGGGGATGGTAGGATCGCTAAGTGACCGCCGAGTCCTACCCTTCTTCTGTCTAACACTAGGTGGTGCGGAGTGTTCAGTGTTCGGGTCGGTACACGTAGGTTTCTCTCTGACCTGCATGGAGATGCTCATCGGAATCGGGTTCGTCTCTCTGCTACCGGAGGCGTTTCTGAACAAAGTCGGATGGACCTTCTTGTGGTGGTTCAACACCTTGCAGAAGACGAGAAGGTACAGGACTATGATGGCGACGGAACAGACCACGAAGACGACAAAGTTTCCGGACAGGAAGATGGACACGGCGACTTCATTAACGTACTGGTCCAGTACCTTGCAGGTGCCGAATTGCCGCCCAGTTTGGTCAGGGGCGAACCTGTCCACCCCGTAGACGAACAGAATGGGACAGTCCAGGACCAGGCCGAGCAGCACGATGCCCAACGCCGTGAACTTGGCTCTCTTGACGGTCATGGTCTTCCTGAACGGCCGGCAGATCGCGAAGTACCTGTCCATGGCCACGGCGGCCAGAGTCAGGATGGAGCAGAGCAGACTCGTCTGGACTAAATACACGCTAAACTTGCAGGACCAGTCGCTCCGCTCCTGCGTCCACTGCAGGAAGTTGTTCAGCTCTAGCGGGATGGCGACCCAACACATCGCTAGATCCACCAACG